TTGATTTTTAGCAAGGCTCCTACATTAGTCCTGGAACGCTCAGAGCAAAGCACCCTCACCTAGTGGGTTGATTCCCATGTTGTTCCCCTTCAATAGCCTTACTTCTTTCCCTCTAATTACCAATACTCAGAATAAGGAGTTGGTGTGCTGCTACTTCCATGTATGAATTTTTTAAAGTATATTTTATTGATTATACTATTATGGTTGTCCCAATTTTTCCCCCTTTGCCCCCTTCTGCCTGTTCCTCCCTTCCCTCCTGTAATGCCTCCCCACCCCCACTTACTTCATGTCCATGTCTTGTGCATGTAAGTTCTTTGGCTCCTCCATTGTACATACTGTTCTTAACTTCCCCCTGTCTATTCTTCACCTACCCAATTATACTTCTAAATCTCTATACTTTTCCCCCATTCTCCCCATCCCTCTCCCAGTTGATAACCTTCCAAATAATTTGTGTCTATGATTCTGTTCCTGTTCTAGTTGTTTGCTTAGTTTGTTTTTGCTTCTGTTTTTAGAGTCAGTTGTTGATAGTTGTGAGTTTGTTGTCATTTTAATATTTGATCTTTTTTCTAAATAAGTCCCTTTAACATTTCATGTAATAAGGGCTTGGCGATAATGAATTCCTTTAGCTTTATCTTGGTCTGGTAAGCACTTTATCTGCCCTTCTATTCTAAATGATAGCTTTGCTGGATAGAGTAATCTTGGTTGTAGGTAGGTCTTTGCTTTTCATGACTTTGAATATTTATTGCCAGCCCATTCTTGACTATAAGGTTTCTTTTGAGAAATCAGCTGATAGTCTTATGGGAACTCCTTTGTAGGTAACTCTGTTTTTCTTTTGCTGCTTGCAAGATTCTCTCTTTCTTTGGCATTTTAATTATGATGTGTCTTGGTGTGGTTCTCTTTGGGCCTAACTTTTTTGGGATTCTCTGAGCTTCTTGGACTTGTATGTCTGTTTCCTTTGCCAGATTTGGGAAATTTTCTTTCATTATTTTTTCAAGTAAGTTTTCAATTTCTTGTTCTTCCTCTTGTCCATCTGTCATCCCTATGATTCAGATGTGGAGCACATTTGGAGATGTCCCAGAATCTTCTTAAACTTCTCATTTTTTTGAATTCTTGTTTCTTCATTTTGTTCTGGTTCAATGTCTATTTCTTCCTTATGTTCCCAATTCCTTGTTAATTTGAACCCCAGCTTCCTTCTCTTCACTGTTGGTTCCCTGTAGATTTTTATTTCCCTTAGTAGAGCCTTCATTTCTTCCCTTATGCTTTTGCTGTATTCAGTGAGATCTTTGAGCATTCTGACCTCCAGTGTTTTGAACTCTGTGTCTGATAGGTTGGCTATCTCCGCATCGCTTACTCTTTTTCTGGGGCTCTGTTCTGTTCCTTCATTTGGGCCATATTCCTTTATCTCCTGCTTTTGGCAGCCTCCCTGTGTCTGTGAACTAGATAGAGCCCTTTGATTCTGCTTTAGTGCACCTGTTAAGTCATATGGGGCAGAGCCTTGGGTGTTTGCCAGGGTGGGGCAACCTTTGGTCTGAGTGTGGGGGAGGGGTTGAAGAGGGGACGATGCTGCTGCTGGATGACTTCTGGGGGCTTGCCTGGCCCTCACCCTATTTCCAGTCACTTCACCCGCTTCCCATGTGCCACTGGCGCCACTCCAGCTCCCAGGGTGGGTGGGAACCCATATGTCCCAGGCTCTCGTGAGGAACCGATAGTTTCTTCTGCTGCCCCAGTGCCCGCTGGGTTTATAGCCAGAAATTATGAGGCTTTCTTTCCTGGTGATGGAGTCCTGGGGTGCACAGTCTGGCCTGGGGCTGGGCTTGCCTGCTCACGAGGCGTCTCCCTGATTTTTATCCATCACACGTGAATGTGGGGCTGGCCATTCCACCAGCTGCTGCTGCCTGGCTGCCTCTCCACCCCCACTCACTGGGCCACGCGTCCTCTCTGCCCCTCCTACCTGGCTGGATGAATATAGCTTCTTTAAATCCTTGGTTGTCAGACTTCCATACAGTTCTGGATGTTTTTCTGGGTGATTTTTCTGGTAGTTCTGGGTCTTTTTCATTTTTAAGTTAGTTGTGTTCCTTCTTATGGTTGTACGATGAGGCGAGGTGTCTCTACCTATGCCTCCATCTTGACAGGAAGCAGCCTCATGAATTTAAAAAAATTGATTAAATACTGTGAATTACAAATGGACTCAGAGTCAAGTCAGGGCCAAGGTTGCAGTTATAGGTCCTTTTGTTAACATCTCGGATTTAAGGATGTATCATGTAGAATTTCTGTGAGATAATAAAATTTCTGAAAATCTGTATACCACAGCAATCTTATAGGTGGCCCAAGATAGAGAAGAGCGTCTCAGAAAAAAAAATATGGGTGTGGCTTTTGTCAAATGAGTGGATTATAGTGTCATATATACGAAACCCATGATTTTCAAAATCAATTTTTTTCCAGATTTAACCATAAGGCACAGGGATAGTACAAAATGTAGAGGCCCTTGAACCCTCAAATTTCTCTGGTGAGGAAATGGCTTGAGGACTGTACTTAGGTAAAAACATGGGCCACCTTTATGGAAAAGGTAGGATGACTCAGAGGTAGGAAAAAACAGCCCAGTGAATAGCTACGCATTGTGGAGAATTACCTTCAGGGACACAGATTACTTAAGGAACTGGTGACATGTGCCCAACTAAATTTCAGAATCTCTATAGACAAAGAACTATGTGACTCTTATTATTTCCCCCCTTTTAGAATGGAAGATAACTAGCTACCTTATCTGTCTCATCACTGTATGCCTGGTGTGTGGGAGGCACGTAACTTATTAGTTCATAACCTTTTATACTTAAGGAACCTCATTCAAGGCATCATGTACACACCTGACTTAGATGACCTGGGGCTCAAGCCTGATGCTGATGAAGTAATAAAATGAAAATATTAAGAGTTTTAGAGAGTGTTTTGCATGTGGGAGGAATATGTTTAAAAACTTATTTAACACATATCCCAGGCTGATGCACTGTACTGCTTAAATTCTGTTATATAAGTAATACCTATACTAATATTGAGTAGACAATCAGTTGCAGACAAGCAAAGCATTTCCACTGTGGAAGGAAATGGGTTGTCACACCAGTTGCTTCTACCATCCACCTGTATTTCCAGTAGAAGAAGGACTTTTTTTTTCCTTCCAAGAAGCCTTGTGAAACAATGTGATACCCTAATTCCGCCTTAGCTCCCCGAATGATAGGACACATGCATACAGAAAAATACCAAGCAAGCAAAGGGGAGAAAAATCATGAAAAACTCAAAAACAGATTTAGCTTTGAAAATACCTAGCAAAAGCTATACACATTTTAAAAAACTGACAAGTGTACTTAAATAATCTATGTTCAACTTTTTCCAAGTACTCCAAAGGGTAAGCTTTCTTACTTAAGTAATATCAAGCATCAAAAATATCCCAGCAATTCACAGAAGGTATTCCTGACAACTTTACTCAACAGAGCAGCTCCAAAAGTTATTAAGTCCTATTAAAAATACAGCTTTTTTTCCCCACCAACACACATAAACAAAATTTGATATCATGTTATTAAGTGGGGTTTAAAGGAGTTTGGAAACATTACTTCTTTCTTCCCTACTCCCATGTTAAAGTTTTGTTTTGCATGCATTCTTCCATACATATTTCTATGTCTCCACAAAACAAATGGAATATTCTACCTTTTACTTTGCAATTCCTCTTACCAATCTCTTTTCAGGTAAGCATATATAAATCTAACACTTTTCAGTGTTGAGAGATTATTCCATTTATGTCTGTAGTTCAAGCATTTACTTATTAACATTTAGATTTTCAGGTTTTTTTCTCCAATACGTATTTCAATACACATTTGTGTACATACATTTTTGTGTGAGGGTGCTTATATCTTCATAGGATAATTTCTCAAAAGTAGGGTTGCTCAGTATGAATAGATAACTTTGTGGTAGTTTAGTTCTGCCAGCGATGTTTTTGTGTGTCCATCTCCTTTCTTCTTCACCAAAATTGATGTTGTCACTGGTACGAATAGATAACTTTGTGGTAGTTTAGTTCTGCCAGCGATGTTTTTGTGTGTCCATCTCCTTTCTTCTTCACCAAAATTGATGTTGTCACTGGTTGACTTCGTAACAGTCTGATAGATGCAAAGTGGTATCACACTGTTGCCTTAAAAAAAAAAGCATTTCTTTCACCATACTTTGTTCTTGCTGACTTTTTCAATGTCCTGTTCCATGAATTATTTGCTGATCTCTCCAATAATCTGTTTACCACTTTAGAGTTCTCTCTGTGTACAGAGACAATACTTTTTCTATTATTATACAAATATTTCTAGTCTACCTGTTCTTTTAACTGTGGCTGTGGTCTCCTGACATATGACATTTTAATTTTTTGTTTAGTAAAAATATATCTGTTAAAATAGAGTAAAATATGCCTGTTAAAAGATCATCCCCTAAGGTTGCATAAGGATTTTTAAGTGGGTATCTTTGTATTGTGTTCTGATTGTTGAGAGTAGTGTGAGAAATTCCCACAATGTTTTTTAAAGCAATTAAAAAAAAAGAAAGAATTTGGGCAAGACAGAGAGCTAGAAAGGAGGATAGAGTTGACTGTCCCATGATTCTATGTAAGAAAAAAATACCTACATTTCAGAAAATGAGACTTGGAATGTGATTTGTTCCATCATTAGAAAGCCACATTCTCATAAACTGCACAATTTAAAAAATGTATTTTGATGTATTCACGCCATTAATGTGAATGAAATTTTACATATATTTACATGATTTTATACTTAAATATATTCCTACTATATTTAGTCTCACCTTTTTTTGAATAATGCTTACCTATTAAGTTAAAAAGATGTAGAAAAGGAAGAACAGAGTATCTGGGAAAATTATTCAATCCTTCCTACTTAATCAAATTCAAATACAGAAATTCTCCATTTTAAAATGTGACGTACTTTAAGTCAACTAAAGTGGCATAAATACTACTTAATACAACAGCATGCTAAAAAGAAGTCACTGCATGATTGTTTATTTAAAATATGACTTTGGATGTAATTACATATGTGCTTACATAATTTATTATTCATACAAACCCTCAATTAAAATGCATAATCATTCATCCACAATGCCTTTTTTTTCCTCTAATAAGCATAATAATAAATTTCTATCTCATTAAAAGTGTTTAAAGCCTTTTGGATCTTGATTTGTAAAGAAATTACTGAAAAATAACTTAAGCTTAACTACATCAAACAATGGTATTGTTTGCAATGCTGTCACAATTTCTCCATGGCAAAATAGTCACATGTTGTTATTGCACAATTCTTAGGTACAGGTTATTATGTGCACATAAACTCTCTACATAATGGCAGTGTTTTCACTGCAACTTGCTCAACACATTTAAAATTATGAATACAATTTACAAAATCTTTAACAATATACTTTTAAGATAAAAGTATCCTGAGGATATTACAAAATTCATTTTTCCAGCCCTTCATTTCTTTGCTTTATTTAACTCTTTAATTTCCAAGATAATAGCTGTTCATATTGTTACATAAAAATGTTTTTAAATTCCTATTAACAAAATATATTTAAGCTTAATAACATATAGTTGTCCCTTAAACATTTAGTTCCATCTGCCCCTCTCCTTGGTTAAAATCAAGTATTTATCAAGTTTCCTATAATTCTGAGTCATAAAAGGTATAGTAAAACACAGAGAGAGATAGGGTTTAAGCGCATTTAAGTTAAAAGCACTGTGCATTTTTAATATTTTGGTCATATTTTATAATAAAATAATATATTTTGGCAAAAATAATAAAATATAAGGTTCAGTTTATTTTCTATTAATGGTAGATCTGGCAGGTATTTTACATTTGTAAATACTATCTATTTAATTTGACTGTTTTCACAATTGTTTTTAAAAACACTGCTATTATTAGCTTGTCAGAACTTCGAGACTAAAAGCGCCTAAAAAAAATACATTTTAAGTAAAATGTTTGTTTGATGCTCAAAAAATCCTTCCATAAATTTAGAAACTTACTTTTAAGTCTCTCATATGCGCCAACACAGAATTGTTACTGCCTCCTAAGAGTTAGCTGACTCATTGTAATCTTTAAAATAATAATCTTGGAAGTCTTCCCGAAATTTATGCGAAAATTAAGATGGGAATTAAAAAAAAAGAGAGAGAGAACATGAACCCTGGCCAGGTGCTCAGTTGGTTCAAGTGTTGTCCCCATATGCCAAGGTTGCACGTTCGATAGCCAGTCAGGGCACATACAAGAGTCTACTAATGACTGCATAAATACACGGAACAACAAATCGGTGTTTCTCTCTCTCTCTTACCCTCCTCCCCCCAAATCAATAATAATAATAAAAAAAGAACATGAAAAGCCAGCTGCAAAAAAAGTTATTCTGGTGGCAGTACTTATTATGGCACAAAAACACATGAAAAAAACTTGTAGTTTTCTCATATATACACAAAATAAGTTCAAATAAGATGTATAAGATATGTTACATATATACACACAAACACACATATATACATACCCATGCTTGGTCTCCAGGAGAGAATTCACGTGGCTTAATAAGCCACGTGGCTCATTTATCACTGAAGTCCCAATGACAGTTTTAATAAAAATGTTCACCATTTTTTTTTTTTTTTTTTAACCAAACATCAATCTATCATTAGTTAGGAGAAGAAGAGCTTGATATGTGTAAGTTTGAAAAAGGAACTGAGAGTGTGGTGAATTAAGTGATGATGGATGTACAACTGCTTTTACATAAAAGGTATTTTTTCTGTGAAAGAAATTCATGCAGACATATCTGCTGAAAAGTTTATCAACCATAAGAAAACAAAAATCCTTTGACACTATGACATACTCACTATAACATAGTATAAATATGTAATATTACAGCACTACTTATACATTCTACTTTGGACAATATAGTCTAATTCTGAATGACCTTGTTACTTTTTAAGGCATCAGTGCATGAAGGGCAAAGCTCCATAAAATGAATTTGAAAACAAGAAAGCATTAGCTTATTTGTGGCATAGAGAGTAATCAATGTACATTGCATCTGTTGGCCACTTTATGGAATAGGTGATAAATTATAGATCTTATTGTCAAAATGTTACAGCATAAATTTCACATCATTTTTCAACACTTCATTTAATGGGCTAAACTGATCCGGCAGTATTCTCATTTTCATTGTTCCATCAGCTCCACATGAAAAAATATGATTTGCTGGCCCTGTCTCAATTTGCATCACTCCGGTTCCAATATTTCTGAAAATGGATTGCCGAGCATGTTCACTGATAAAAGTGTGAAGAAGAGTAAAGGTAGAGAGACTCCAAATCTAAAAGACATTAAAAAAAATATGTGGTTAAAGATTACCTAAAAAGTCCAAATGTAATATTTAGGCCTATCTTCCTGTGCAAATAAGGAATTTCAAAAACAAAGATGGAGAAAAACCTGTGTAGGCCTAAGGTTCTAACATCTTGATTCAGTATCGGGTGTTGAAATTTTCTAGCGCATTTTCATATTATTACATTCTTCAAAATTCACCTAGTAAGAGAGGAAAGTATCTTAAACCCTGCATTGAAGATGAGAAAATTTAGGTACATGGACGTTAAGTGTACAGTGCTACAAAAACTTGCAATAGTATGGGGAACTGCAATCAAGATTTCCTATCTTTCAGCAAAGCTTTTGCTGTGTCGTTCTTTAATGAAGTAATCTTGTCTCTATAATATAAAATACCCACCAGGGGATTAGAACCACTTGAAAGAGAGAAGTACCAGACACCTAGAGGCCTGCAGGCTAGGCAAATCTATGTTCCAACTGCAAGATAAAGTTAATTATTATAACTGCAGTGTACTTAATTTACTAAATATAAATTTTCTATTTTTAGCCCTTACCAAAATAAATGTGTCTGTTCTTAAAGTAATTTATAAGCATCTTCACCTAAGGAAACCAATTTATTTCTTGAATTTTTAGATCACATTAAAAAATACTTATTTTACCCAAGAAATAAATTAATTTCCACTATTCTAGGTATCATTGTTTTTCTTACTTTCTTTTTTCTTTTTTAAAAGATTTTATTTATTTATTTTTAGAGAGGGGAAGGGAGGGGAAAAGACAGGGAAACATCAATGTGTGGTTGCCACTTGCTTGCCCCCTACTGGGGACCTGGCCCGCAACCCAGGCATCTACCCTAGACTGGCAACCCTTTGGTTCACAGGTTGGCACTCAATCCCTCAGCTACACCAGCCAGGGCTAGGAATCACTGTTAAACTGACTTGTGAATACTGCATTGTATACTTTTAAATATTTTTTTTTACTTCATTAAATAATAAAACTCAAAGTGCAAACTGAAGAACTAATCTAATACACAGTATGAACTACCTAAACTGAGGGCAGTTCAAATAGGAAACTAGCTTCAATTGAAGGAAAATGCCCTGGCTGGTGTGGCTTGGTAGACTGAGCACTGGCCTGCGAACTGAAAGGTCACTGGTTCAATTGCTGGTCAGGGCGCATGCCTGGGTTTCAGGCCAGGTCCCTGGATGGGGGTGTGAAGCAACCAATCAATGTTTCTCCCCCTTTCTTTCTCCCTCATGTCCTCTCTCTCTAAACAAAAACAAAACCTTTAAAAAAAATTGAAGGAAAAGAATTCTGTATGGAAGTTGTTGCACATATTTGATTGTAAGAAAAGCCTTTTAAAATTCTACAATTCTAGTTAATTTTTTCTGGCTGAGAATTATGAAAACAATATACCATTCTAACATAGTAGTTATGAAATTAGACTCCTAAGGAGGCTGCTGACCATAGGACTAATTTAGGGACTAGTCTAAACTGACTTATTTCTGCAGATCTTTACAAGTGTGGCCCGAGGACTCTCCATCAAAACCACTAGGTATATGTTATAAAAATGCACATTCCTGAACCCTGGACTTACTATTTTTGGGGTGGAACCTAGCAACAGTATTTTTGGAATGGGGTACATTTTTAATAAGCTGCTTAACTTTTTAAATGGCCTCTAAGTTCTAAACACAATGGGGTTTGAGTAGGACTGTTATGGGCAGGGCTTATCCAGGTACATTTAGAATTCTTGAACCAGACACTGAGATTCTCCATGCTATTGCTATAAATTAAAAAAAATAAAATAAATACGGGCATGGGAAATATGTCAGTATATTTTGTAGCACTTGAAACTGAATTCAGTAACTCTTAACATGCAGTAGGACTAATTCTAACATTTGAAATGTTTATATCCATAGAAAAATCTAGTTATTTTGCATACATTAATTAAGCATATTTGAAAAACAATTGAAAAATAGACAATTTTCAAGTTAATTATTATTTCATTCATTAAAAGACATATTAAATCTTTAATTAATATGGTTGACTACAAAGGAGTTGTTAATATTTCTATTATTTAAATGGACTGATGTCATCAATATGATTAAAGATCTAGGGTTTCTGAAGATTTCTTTTCATTTTGTAGATATTGTGGCATTACTGTGTTTACCTTTATGTTGCCTTCAGCAGATCCTGTGACAAAGTATTCTTCAGTTGGATCAATAGCAATGGCTTTAACAGGAGAATCATGGCTCTGGAAAAGCTGCCTCTGTTGTCGTTGCTGAAGGTCAAATACACATGTAAAACCTTTTCTGCCACATGATATTAGTAGCTGATGTTTTGGAGCATATGCTAACACAGTGGCTCCGCTATCATGGCACATAAAAGCTGAAAGTTAAAAAAAAAAGTAAAAAAATCATATAGTAGTATAAGAAACAGACTTCTGGCTTTTTACCAAGGTGGAATGTTAGAACTGATTTACTTTTCTTCCTGAAACAAAAAAAATAAAACAAGTGATATATAGAAAACTGGTTTGAGACACTGGCAAGGAAGAATGACCTCTATGAGATTTGAAGCAAACTCTGTCAGAGCTATACATGTGCCTAGCTTACTGCCTGTAGAGTGTTTTCTAGCCAGGGCACAAGGAAGGGCAGCCAAGCTATCTGGGTTCCTGTTTCCATTAGACACAGTGGAAAACCTCAATTCACCAGGCACAGGATAAATACTCAGAAGGGTTTTATCTCAGTAGTAGAGCAAAATTAGCCCTATACCAAATGCTACTTTGGTCCTACTTAACAAAGCACTCCCAAAGCTAACTGTTTCTTTATAAGTTAGTTGCAAAACAAAGCAGAAAAATATTTACGGAATACAAAAATAACTAGCACCTAATAAAGTAAAATCCTGACATCAAATAAAAAATTACTGGCATATAAAGAAGCAGGACAATACAATCCATAGAAGAAAATCCATCAAATCAATTGAAACTAACCCAGAAGTGACACAGATGATCAACTCAGGAAATAAAAAGTCATTATTTAACTGCATTCCATATGTTCAAAAAGCTGGTTGAAAGAGTGAGCATATTAAATAGAGAAATGAAAGATATAAAAAAAGACCCTAATTAAAAGTCTACATATTAAAAACTACAACGTTTAAAAAAAATATGGATGGGATTACAAGCAGAATAAACATTGCAAAAATATTAGTAAACTGAAGAAATAGCAATATAAATATCAGAAATATAAAATTATAATTAATATTTTCTTCAAAAAAAGTCTAGCCTAACAAATCTTAGGGGAAATAGATCCGTATACATTTCAAAGACAATATGGCATAATGATAAAGAGTAAAGTTTCGTAAGTTAGAATGCCAGGTTTTGAGTCCTGGTTTTTGTCAGAGTTTAAATGTATACCTTAGATAGCAAAAGATGGTGATAGATTAGGTAGAAGTTACACTCACCTCCTCCAAGTCATGAACTGGAATTAAATAACTAAATTAAAGAACAATCGACCTGAATAACAAACTGAACAGAGGTCTTACAACCAAGGATTTACAGAAGCCACACTGAGACTGGTAGGAAGGTTGGAGAAGAAAAAAGGGCTGGCCCTGCTCCCACTTGGAGTGGCTCAGAATCTGGAGGGATATCTCAGCTCTACTGAGGTCCCCCACCTAAGGACCATGTCAACTCAACCCAACACTGGGCTCCCAAGCCCAGAGCAACAGAGATCAGAAGAGGTGTTCACCTAACATCTGGCTATGAAATTTGGCAGCGATTCTGTCCACCAGGGAGATCCAGGTGTCCCCTTAAAGGGCCAAGGCTCAAAATCTCCTTTGCAGCCATTTGCCCTGGGCTCTAGCAAAAGGGAGGGCAGCTGAGAGCATATTAGAGTCTTGCTAGGACAGCCTGAGCTGTATGGCTTTGGGAAGAGAGCTGAAGGGTCAGCCACCAGGGTCCCACTGCTGAGTTCCTGTCCCACAATGCTCACAGACACATCTTTCTTGGGGCAAACAAGCTCCTCCAATCTGTATCAGCCTACAGGGAATGCACAATCCCACCCTCCTGGCCCCCCTCCTGCCCAACCTGAGCTGAAGCCCTGCGGAGGGGGTTTGTTGCCTGAGCCTGCGGTACAGACTCTCCAGAAAGAATTTTAAGGGCAAACTCAATGATAGTCAGAGACAGAGTTGTGTGGCTATGAGGCAGAGACCACTTCGCTTCCCTGCTCACCGGGGCCCAGTCACATCTCCAAGACTGTGTCACCCACCCACTCACCCCCAGCTACAGTAGCTCCTCTGAGAGCCAGCCAGAACGCCCCACTGGAGCAGCCACAGAAGCCTCTCCCAGCACCATCCCAGAGAACCTGCCCTGTCAGCTTTTGTAGCCCCTCTGAGGCCTGGCCACTGGAGCAGCCACAGTAGTCCCTCTAAGTGCCAGCCCGAGCCTCCCATACCCTGCTACTTGCCCTCCCCCACCACTGCCCAAGTGGTAGCCCCCCAAACCCCATGGGTGATCCACTAGCCCCATAAAAAGAGGTGCATTAGCTCTACCCTCTGGACTTCCAGTGTTTCTGCCGTGCTGAGTTTGTGCTGCACAGAATTATGAGCCAGCCATGCCAGCCTGGTCCCCTGTCCATATGACTCTCCATTAGGTCCAGACAGACTCTGGAGAAAACTGAGTTATGTAGCTCTCAGTCAGGGCCATATTTCATGTACACACCAGACCAGCGGTCCTGTGCAAAGCCCTCCTGGCATAAGGATAGACCTTGGTCTGTATGGGCCTGAGCAACACTGCTGGCCTCACCCTGATGAATTCAAGACCCAATCCCATCACAAAGATCCATGAGCACATGGCAGGTGGTGGCTGACTTTGCTGTACCCTGAAACTGTTGCTGAGTGGCCCCAAACCCAGCTATGGTGCTGAGTTCGAACTGGTATTAATGTGGCAAACACCACTCACCTCTACCTGCTGACTCACTGAGAGCCTCCCTCAAGAAACTCAGGTACTGCCAAATGCTCTTTCAGTAACTGAGTCTAATAGGTAGCTTACATGAGGAGGCAGCTCTCAGGGAGCCTTGGGCCTTTTGCTGACCTGCCACTCAGGCTCAGAGCTGGTAGAAACCAGCCTTGTTGTATAGCTAGGCCCCTCCCGTGCACACCCAGGCTCAGCAGAGGCAGCCACAAATGGTGGATTGTTTTATAACTCCATACGGTAGCCCAGGGCTTGGCATTGGCAGTGTCTGACATTGACTGCTACTATATCCCCACCCAAGGGGCCCCAGAACCAACACAACCAGTGGCTCAGACCATGTCAGAGCATGACCCAACTAGCTCCACAGTGGCACAAACAAAGGGGAGCTCTCCGCACACACCAGCCCCTGTTGGGGCAAATTCAGCTTTGTGGTACCAGCCTGACACAGTAGCTCATACAATATAATAGTGGGGGCAGGGGTGGGCGTTGTTTCAATCCTCATAGTCTATAGCAGGGCAACCCCACCTATGGAAGGACCAACACAAATCAAGGCTCAACATGAGAGCTCATATAAGCACACAAGGGACAATCCTAGACCATCTAGCTCAGGCAATTAGGGAGACTGCATCTCTTAGCCCTACAAGACACCTGCTACATAAGGCCACTATACCAAGGCATAGCAGATCTACCTAATATACAAAGTAAATACAGAGAGGCAGCCAAAATGGGGAGACAAAGAAACAGGCCCCAGAAAAATAACTAAATAAAATGAGGGCAAGCAAGCTACTGGATAGAGAGTTGAAAACAATGGTTATGAGGATGCTCAAAGAACTTAGTGAGAACTCTATCAGCATGGAAAAGGACAAAAAACCATAAAAGAACCAGTCAGAATGAAAACTATAATATCAGAAATGAAGAATACACTAGGAAGGAATCGATATTAGGCTAGTTGAAGCAGAGGGTCAATTAGTAATTTGGAAGACAAGGTTGTAGAAAACACCCAATCAGAGCAACAAAAAGAAAAAAGGTTTTTAAAAAATGTAGACAATCTAAGGGATCTCTGGGATGATATGAAGTGCAACAACATTCACATCATAGAAGTACCAGAAGGAGAAGATAGAGATCAAGGAATCGAGAACATATTTGAAGAAATAATGGCTGAAAACTTCCCTAAACTGGTGAAAGAAAAAGGCACGCAGGTCCAGGAAGTGCAGAGAATGACAATCAAGATGAGCCCAAAGAGGTCCACACCAAGACACATCATAATTAAAATGGCAAAGGCTAAAGAAAAAGAAAGTATCTCAAAAACAGCAGAGAAAGAGTTATCTGCAAGGGGGCAAGTAAGTGGAAGCATATTCCATGTTCACAATAGGAAGAATTAACATCATTAAAATATCCACACTACCCAAAGCAATCTATAAATTCAATGCAATTCCTACCAAGATACTAATGGTGTATTTCACAGAAGTAACAAATATTCCAAAAATTTATATGGAACCACAAAAGACCCTGAATGTCCACACCAACCCTGTGAAAAAAGAACAAAGTTGGAGGAATTACACTACCCAATATGAAACTGTACTATAAGGTCATAGTAATCAAAATAGCATGGTACTGGCATAAAAACAGACATATAGATCAATGGAACAGAATAGAGAGCTCAGAAATAAACCCATGCCTTTATAGTCTATTAATATTTGACAAAAGAGGCAGACACATACAGTGAGGTAAAGACAGTCTATTCAATAAATGGTGTTGAAAAAATTGGACAGATAACATATAGAAAAAAGAAACTAGATCACCTTCTTATATCATACACAAAAATAAACTCAAAATGGATTAAAGACTTAAATATTAGACTGGAAACCATAAAAATCCTGGAAGAAAACATAGGCAGTGAAATCCTGGAAATTGCTTGTAGCAATATTTTTTCCCAATATATCTCCTCAGGCAAGGGAAACAAAAGAAAATATAAACAGATGAGACTACATTAAACTAAAAAGTTATAGCACAACAAGGAAAACCACCAACAAAATGAAAAGAAAACTCACAGAACGGGAGAACATACTTGCCAATGATACATCTGATAAGGGGTTACTACCAAAATTTATAAAGGACTTACACAACTAAACACCTAAAAAAATCCCCACAAACAATTTATAAATGGGCAAAGAATCTGAACAGACTCTTCTCCAAAGAGGACATAAAGAAGGCCAATAGACATATGAAAAAATGCTCAATGTCACCAATCATCAGAGATGCAAACTAAAACCAAATTGAGATATTGCCTCACACCTGTCAGAATGGTTACCATCAATAAATCAACAAACAGTAAGTGCTGGTGAGGATGTAGAGAGAAGGAAATCCCTATGCACTATTGATGGGAATGCAGATTGGGGCAGCCATTATTGAAACCAATATG